TGTGTGTGTGTGTGTGTGTGTGTGTGTGTGTGTTATGAAGATTGGGAGGGTGTGCCAATAATGGGCAGTGCATTCATGTCCTAGTGTGCTTAGGTGAGCAGTTTATGTGTACAGTTCATGGTAGTGCAGATCACCTCCTAAATGGACCTAATGGAGTTAGTACTGTCAGTTCAATGTCAAGGCACTGCTATTATTGACAGATACTTGAGATCCTGAAACTGAGGACAAAAGGAGGTTCAGACTAAATAAGGATAAAATCCATGTGACCCAATTAATCTTCTTATATATCTGGCATGTTTTCCAAATATCTGTGTCAGCCCTTCTTCCTAAGCTACTTGGCAATATATTACAAAACAAATTACCCCTTATATACAAAAGCAAACAATTGTCAATAAGACCAATTTACATGGATCAAAAAAGTGTTCTAGTATCAAATTATGGCTTAAAGAGCATTTGCCTATGGAATATACACCTTTTAGAAAAGAAAAAAGCTGTTGCATAGAGCCAACACTTATCTGCATAGTGCCATCTGAAGAGATAAGGACATGGAGTTGAGGCCATGAGAAAACTGCCTGTCTGCAGAAGTCAGTCAGGAGAAATGTTCAGTAAATTATCACAGTTCAGAATGATCATGGCTTAAACAGTCATTATGCAAATCATGGAAGAATGCTATCAACAGGAGCTCCAAGATTTTTCTTCTTTAGATACTGTTATGGGCTTGAAAGTTAACTATGATCAAACAAAACATCAATAGAGGGCTAAAGCAGCATACTCTTTGAAGACAGGATTCTCAGCAAGAATGAGAAAAATCCCCAATTCACTGTTTATAATTCTCTATATGACTGGACCATCAAATATAGTTCTCTACATGACCATCAAATATAGTTCCTCTTTAATAGATTAATTGGCTAATTAATAGACTGAAATGATCACTAGAGATGTAACAGCCACAGTTTGTATGACTCATAGGTAGCATTCTACCCCTGCTGACCCAAAATATTTTAGGATGAGGCATCATGAAAATTGACATAGAACAGAACTTTCTACTGTGGAAAGCAAAAAGCTAGAAAGAAACTCAAGAGATTTGTTTAGTTTACAAAATGCATAACACTGAATTACATTTTCATCCATATAAACACCCATGATAATACCTAGTGTTACTGTTAGGAAAACATACAGAAAACAAATCTTTAGAATTAAAACATATACACTACTAATATTAATTAGCAAATTATGAATCATCAAACACTGAAAAATAGTTTTATTGTCAATTAGAACCCCCCAGAAGTACTTTAAGAGCTCTACTATGCCCCTGGACTTCTTTTTTTTATAATATAAATATTTTAATTTTACATCATTTTGTGCCTTTTTCTATCTCAGTTGTAACCCCTGTGGGCTTTCCACCACCAAATCACCCATGTGCCATCACCATAGTGCCCCTGAACTTGTTTTACAAGAAAACTCTAGGGTTCTAGCTTAATGTCTGTAGAACAGATTTAGATATAAGGACTAATAACCAGCCATTGTAGCAAATGGGTTGCTTTTACAGTATGTTCTGACCTTCCTCTTGTGACCTTTTGTAGAACCTTCATTCCGGTCAGGCTGCAGGATTTCCCTTCCAACTGTTTGTCCTTCATGATAACGTCCTCTGTGTGGACTTCACTGAACATTCCACAGGCATCTTGCACAAGAAGGCAAACCCTACAAAAAAGCATAGTTTTTGGAGATAGTTTTTGGTTCAATAGAGAGATCAGAGTTTCCTTCTGCCTCACTAGCAATCCATTGAATTATCTTCCTAAATAGATGAATCATGGTAAATGAAGTTGGATCTAAGCATGCACTTTTTAGATCTGTACTTGCAGATGTTTGGATCACTGTCTGCAAAATACAGAAGATGGAATTGTCTTTTAGCATAAAACTGAGCCAAAAGTAGTTTAAAAGCACAGACGCAGAACATCTTTCAAATCAAAGATAGTACTTTTCCTAGAAACAGAGTCTTCTCTTTAACCATTTTTATCCTGTCTGCCATAACAGGAAACACCAATACTTTGTCTAGATGCTTACTACATAAAAATAGTGTAACATATTGATGAAAAAAAATAGGACTTTTTATGAGAAGATATATATATTTACAGATATACATTTGCCTGCAGTATAAAAACCAGGTTTTCAGCTGTGTAGCAATATAAAGTTGCTGGATCACATCAGCACTCTGATGGGATTCCCCCATTTTTAAGTTCAAAAGGGAGTATTTATAAAAACCTACTAATGATTGAATTTCCAGTTTTCTCAATTTTTCATTCAAGTAAATTATTTCTTATAATGAAATAACGCATTCTCAGAAAACAGTTCCTGGAATCTGAACAAATTTTAGTCAATAATTAATGCCAGCAAATGGACTGTGAGGAGCAAATCTATTTTAAAGTTAAAAATATAAAAGAAAGAACATGTTAGAAAACAATGCAAAGTACAATGAACAAAGGAAAGCTATATCTGAACCAATGAACCTTTAAATACTACCTTGGCAAAAAGGGAGAAGTCTAGACTTCTTGATTAAATGTCCCAGGTGTTTTTCAAACAAGAGAAGTGAATCTTGTTTGAAAAAAAGTACCTTTATTAGATCATCAGTTTATCATGGAGTAAAATGAAATAGAGATTGTGTTCAAATAAAATTACCAAGTATAAGGAAATAAACTAGTATATGGAAAAAATAAAAACAAAACAAAGACCATTTGAGGATTTGCAATTAAAAATTCATGAAATACAGAATAACCTTTAAAAAGGTAAAGTCATGAAAAACACAAACAGGAACAAAAATGTACAAAATAACTTCATCAATTTAAAGAATGAAATATAACCTTAAAAAAGAAAAGATATATTTATAAGATATACATATTTATAAAATTGATGTAAGAAATGAATCAAAATTACAGGAAGAAAAACATACTAAGCAAGATATCTGAAGGGAAATTATCCCTACATGTATACCATGATGAAACTAGAGAGCATCAAAGGCACTGAGATTTCAAAAGCAAAAAGCATGAAAAGACAAAACATTTATAAAGGAGTAAAAATATGATTTACTTAAGTCTTCTCAAGAGCAATGAATGAAACCAAAAGATAGCTAAATATTTTCAGAACTCTGAAAAGTCACATCAGAATTGTTGACCAGGCAAAACTATCTGTCAAGAATTACAGTAAAATAATGGCATTTTAAAATAAATGCTAGGTATATTATCTATCTATAGAATCTGCAATATTCACTAGTTCCTGAGATAGCTATTGAGATAATAATTAAGTTAGGTGATTTAGAAAGAAGAAAATTACTCAATAGTTCTTGTATCTTAGACAAGATACTACTGAATACCTGATATCTTAGACAAGAACTACTGAATACCTTGTTCTGTATCTCAGACAAGAACTACTGAACAAGACTGAAAACAAATGAAAATATACACAGTGGGATAAAATAACAAAGTAGCCAATAATATTAATTAATGTATGAAGAGCTAAAAAGCTGGAAGTGAATAAGAGTAAGTCAAACTGGGGTGACTGGTATCCAACTGTCCCCAATTTCCAGGATTAAGGTATTAATGTAGACTTCATTAACTATAGTACAAGTGGTAACATTTCATTTTACCACCAAAAGAACAGAAATAAGTTATGTAATTTCCAAATCACTTCGTAGAAGGTAGAATGAGAAATAACAGGCGAAAGCACAAAAAGAAAGTCTTTAAAAAGGCAGGAAAATATAAGATAATAAGAGGCATATATATGTATGCATATTAGAAATGGAATTAAAATGATTTAAATTTGTCAATTAAAAGTCAGAGTTTGTCATGTTATTTGAAGAAAAACAAAAAAATTGTTGGTTGAAAATCTAAAATTTAGAAAGGGTCAAAGAACAAGTCTTAAAAAATTTTCAGGAAAATATTAACTAAAAAAGGACATGACTTAGAGAGTAAATGAATTAGATTTTAGAAGGGAAACATTGTTACTGATAGAGGTCATGAATATTGTTTAAATAAAAGTTTAATTTACTAGGAAAATAGTTTAATTCTAAATGCTTCTGTCCTTAACAGTCTCAACATATCTTAAACATATATTGTTAAAACTAGAGTGAGGAATGAACAAATCCAGCATAATTGTGGGAGATTTGAACATAGTTCTGTCAGTAACTAAATCAAGCAGAGGAAGTGAATTAGTGAAGATTTAGAAAATGTTTAAACTTAGTGAGTTTGACTTGGGGTAAACTACCCAAAATTGGAAAAAGTGAATTTGCAAGCACCCATGGGGCATTTATAAAAAGTGATTCTCCCATATGACCATAAGTTAGGCCTCAATGAATTTCTAAAAATCAGTATTGTAGATACATTGTGACTACAATATAATTAAATAAGTAATGAAAATATGTACTTATAAAAGATCTCCTACATTGGGAATTTTACAAAATCCTATTCAACGCATAGGTCAAGTATGAAATCATGATGGACAGAGTCAGTACTTGGAATTAATTAATAATAAATATAGCACAATTGAAAACTTACAAATTACAGCATTTTAGGGAACTTTTCTATAAACATCTTTAAATTAGTTTTCTGTATACTTACCATATATTCTACACCAGAACATTGTCTATTATCAAAACATTCTTCAGAATGCTAAACCTCACAGGTATTCTACCCTGTAGGGGTCCTGAAGGAATCTGCTCTGCTCCAAACTGGTTAGCATCTACCTACTGCATGGTGTTCTGAGATCTCTTTTTAGAAATTTGGCAAATTCTTTCTGTTACTCAGTATGTTCTATTTCCTACGGCCCATATCCTCTAACTCTCTTTTATAACTGACTTCAAGTTAACAAGTCACATTTTTAAAAATAATAGTTTATTTTTACATAATTTAGTGCCTTTTTCCATCTCAGTTGTAATTCCCGTGGGCTCCCTATCACTAAATCATTTGTGTGCCATCACCATTGTCCAGTGTACTTCCCTCCCACCACTGTTTTTGATCCCATTCCCCACTGCACCCCCATAAAATTAACAACTCACATTTTTAGCTTCCTGAAAAGGGAGAGTGGAATGTAAAAAGTTTGAACCCATTCATGAAGTTGTCAGTAAGTTATCCTAATTTTATGGGTAGTTCACTTAGGTGTAGATTTCTAGATTGAAAATAATCCAATCCTGCTTGTTTTCTTTTAACCTTTATCAGAAGTCTGTGTTAGTCTCCAGAGCACTGAAATTACACAACAAAATCTTTTGGTGCAGATCTGTTTCCTGGAGAAATCGTGTCCTTGGTGGTTACTGTCCTGGTACTGCCCTCAATGTCTGGACAGGCAGACAGGGTTTCATTTTTGAGCAGATGTTGGGATTGTAAATGGACCAATCAGCTTTGAGCTCTCACTGGTGCCATTCAAGGGCTTTGAGACCACTGACGATTGTACATGGCCCAACCTGATTGCTGCTTGACTAGTACTAGCCAAATAGCTAGAATTGTAAACTGATCAACCCAGGTTGGAAGGTTTTTGCCAACAGCTTTCAAAGAGCTACAACACTGGTATCTCTGGCACACTGCCTGCTGACTTGTTCCACTCACTTCTGAGAGTTGTTAATAACTTCTGATCCCATGGAACTGCCTCCTGGTGCTGTTGAGTCTGACACTGTCTGGTATAGCATTCAAGTACTGTCCAGCCCATCCTTTGGACTACTGCTGTTGGCTGCTGTGGAAATACCACCTGTGATCATCAACAGTTGTTACCATGAGTTGGATTGTGGTCTACCATTTATTGTTGTTCCACTAGTTCTAGTCCCTTATCGAAGGGACAGTGCCATCTTAAAGGAGCAGTCTTTATGTTGACTACTGGACACTATCTGGAATAGGATGTCTGGCATTTGTGGACTTAGAAACTCTCTTTTCCTTCAACCTTTCATTTTTAAAAAAAGTCATTGTTGTACCCTGAGCCTGAGTCTTGTCTTACAATTGTGAGCACATGGGTGAGGACCCACAGTGACTTGCCCTTAACCTTCACACTGTTTTCCAGTCTGTGGTGTATACATAAACAGAAAACTTATATAATGGCTAATTGCAGATAGTTTAGAATATTATTTGCAAAAATAATCATTGTGTACTCACTAATGCATGAATTTGAAGCTTATTGGGACATAAGTTGCAGAACATACATGAATGGGTAAAATTAAAAGACTACTGAAGAGCAAATAAAAGATGGCAGAGCAATACTACTACCTAATATCAAAGTATCATGGTACATTAGTGCATTCTTGTATTATTTACTTAATCCATCTACTGAAGAAAGTAGGCAGTATTACTACAATTTGATTAGGAAAGTAAGGTTCAGGGTGTTTTAAAAACTACCCAATATAGCAAACAAATAGAGGAATCAGCTCTTACTCTGGGTACTTTTATAACATAACATCATGTCATAGTAACAAGTGACAAGGAGTAGAGGAAGAGTGATTAATTTTGGGTAGTGGAAGTGGAGAGAGTATCCCAGAGCAAGTTTAGTCTGCAAGAGAAGTGCCAGGAAGGCAAGGAATGAAAACAAGGCATACTGCATAATGACTAGAAAATCTACATTCAGTCTTCAAAATGAGGCAATGTTTTTCCTTGCCACTAAGTTAACTATAATTAACTTTACTTAGAATTACTTATATAATTATGTATAAATTGTAACAAATTACATAAAAT